CTACAACAGTATAAAATATTAAGTCAAAAACTATTATTAAGAGGACGTATAACCGGCGTTTTCAGTATCAATAACATTCTCGCCTAGATTCCAAATAAATCAGTCTAGGAGAGTTTAAGGACAACAACACCTATGAACAAAATTAAAGATAACTATATTGTTGAGGGCTCCACGTAGCCTTTTTTCAAAATCTTAATTTTATGAAAAGTTAATAGTCATCTGAAAATGCTGAAAAAATCGGAACTTCTTAACGTTATATTGAGCTATATATTTTGAATACAGAAAAATGGCTACGTGGGGCCCTCAACAATATAGTTATCTTTAATTTTGTTCATAGGTGTTTTTATCCTAAAACTATTCTTGTGTGTGTAACTTTGAATCTAATGAGCTTATCTTTGAGCATGTTTACACGGTGTAAATCGGTAATTTTTCCCGTCTAGTGCTGCTCCTTGCGGGACTGTAATTTCCAACGTCGGTCTTTGGTGGTTATGCGTTGGCGGTGTGGTGGTGGCGCGGTGGCCACTCACACGTCTTACAAGTTCAATACAACTTGTCCGAGTGATAAAAATAGCACCGCCAGAATTATAAGTGACAACCGCATGCACGGTCCCGCATGCATTTTTCAATAATATAATATTTATTACACTACACAATCACAATGTATATTACGAAAAAGAATAATTATGACGTCATATTATTACAATAGATTATAGAGCTATTGTTGTTATTATAATATTTACTTATAGAACAATCCAACAACGTTAGAATTTAGACTAGTTTTCACTCTTATTTTATAGTATTTGACTAGCCGATAACACTTGGTAGTTGGTACTACATGCGGTATACTGCATTATACATAAATGTCATAGAAGTCTTTACTGTTTTGTTCATATTTTGTTCGTAATTATGGCTAATAAAAAAAACCAAAAAAGATATACCGGCAAAAAAAGGCTAAGTGGCAGTGCACTTGTACATCGACGTTACAATAAAACTAACAAGTAAGTTCGTGTATTCCTAATTATTTTATTTTTTCAAGTAATTTTTATGGTTACAATATTTATAATATATTATTATATTTTATTAGGTAGGTACTTATTAAATTTATAAATAACGTAAACTTAGATAGTATTTTATTTTACGTATAATTTTAAGTGTTATTGTATAAATATTTAGATCAAAACAATTTATCTTGGAAGACACTTCTAATAATGTATTATCGAAATCTGGTAATTTAATTGACAATCAACCAAGTACATCAACATGCTCATACATTCACTCATCGCCATTGTAAGTAATCATGTATTATTATATGTGTATTACGTGTATTACTGTAAAAGTATATTTTCATGCATTTAAATTTGCGAAATTAATTATTTTAGACTTTTCTAAATGTTTTGTGCAGGGTAAACTTATTAGTAAATGATACTTCTATGACTGGCATTAGTTATTTAAGTCCGATTGAAAATGTATTGTTAAAAGAGGATAATAATTTAGATATTATGGAATCTCATAAATTAGCTGTTGATACAGAAGCAGAAGATTTATGTAACGAAAATGTATTGTGTGAAGATATCAATTTAGAATCAATTATAGAATCTCATAAATTAGCCGTTGATACTTGATACTGATACAGAAACTGAAAATTTATATAACACGTACCTATGTTTTATTTTTATATTTTACATTTTAATTCTCTGTTTTTAAAAATATTTTCACCTGTTGACTTATGTATGTAAATTTTAAAGTGAAACACACAATGAAATATCTGGGAATAGAATTGTTGATATTTCTTATGTATTCAATCAAATTCAGAATAATAATCACAATGGTGGATTCGGATGTAATTTTATGAATATGGATTTTTTATATGAGATTCGTTTAGGATTTTATTCTGAATATTGGTTTAATTGTAAAATGTGTAACATAAAACAAAAAATAAAATCCGTGAAAAATTCACCTACAACTGACTGGTCAATTAATAAATCTGTAGTCAACAGTTCAATAGCTATCGGTGAGTATGGTAAAATATTAAAATATAAACTACTTCAGAAACTTTGTTTTACATTTTCAATCATAAGCTGTTAAAATTGAACATATTTTAATGTTTATGATTTTGATGAATTACCTATGTCAAAATTGGGATCTTAAATGCTAATAAATGAAATAATTTTTTTAAACTGCTATTTCAACAATTTATGCAAGGAACTTTGTATAATTCAATCGTTTTGACGAGTTGTATACAAATGTATACATCAAACGCTCATAAAAAAATATTTACGGAATATCGTTTGACGTTCAACATAAAATAACTTACACATTTTTGCAATTTTGACAAATTCGTAAAAATGTGAACTTTAATAAATTTAAATACCTACTACCTAGTTATAAAGAAATTAAATAAATTAGTTTTCAAAAGTGTCAGAAAAAACTCCAAAAAGAATCGGAAAAACGGGAATATATATGCAATACCAGCTTTTGACAAAAATTTAATTTTTATATTTTGCGTTACTTAAAAACGAATTGTGGTAAATACTTTAATTTTAGATTCTGAGTGAAACGATGAATGTATTGATTTTACAATGATGTGTGTTTTTTTATTTTTTTTTATTTTTGTGTCTGTGTACACGATAAGTAGTCGAAAATATGCTTCGATTTTCGACTTCAGTAGCTTTTCTGATAGGAAAGTGAATATCGTTGGTGCATTGGGGAGGTCAAAATTTAAAATTCCCAATAGTTTTCACAAGCTCCGGGAAAAACAACATAAAAATTAAGGAAAAACGGGAATTTTTACGCAAAATCGATTTTTCAGAAAATCAAATTTGGGTTTTGGTGTAACTTTAAAACAAATGACCGTAGATACATGAAATTTTGACTGGTTGTTTATATTTGCATTTTCTATACACTATAACATTTTCAAAATATTTCGACTCTTTTTGAGCAGTTTACTGAAATTTTCAGTTTTCAATTTTTTTAGTTTTTTTTTTATAAATATCAATAAAGTTTTATCTGTTGGGCCAAAAAGTGTAAAAATTTAATACAAGGTTCCTGATATATTGTTACAATATCAGTTGAAAACTATTAAAAATACATAGGCACAATTTTTTTTTATAAGCATTTAAAGATCGAATTTTGACAGAATTTATCTAAGTCTCGAAAATTATCAATCATTGTAATTAATAAATTACAAAATGTTCAGTTTTTATAGCTAAGGATTGAAAATTTAAAACAAGATTACATATAAGTAGATAATTCTGTTTCCAAAAAATCTAAAAAATACACTAGCACAGTTTATTTTTATGGTCATTTTAAGTTCAAATTTGGACAAAATTACATATTAAAAATCTAGAATAACTATTTTAGTTATTTTCTTGTGATTGTATAATATTATTCGTGGGTACATGAAACTTCTAAAGTGTACTATTATATATCTATGATAGTATCAGGGTTTGTTGTTGATGTATAACGCGTTATAAGTACTTAATGGATATTGTGATAAGATTAATTTGGAATTTATTATAGGTACCTATGATAGGTCATTTTTTTTTACCAATTTCTAATACCATAGATACGTATGTCATATGTTTTAAACCTAGACTCACATACCGTCTTCACTCAGAATCGTTTTTCTTATGCAATGATGTTATATCATTGAATTAAAATTTAATACTATCCATTATACAGTGACCCACATGTAACCTACTGTACAGCAGAGCGACATCCACTTACCCACCTTTCTTTATTTGTGTGTGTATACGATAAGTAGTTGAAATAATGCTTCAATTCTCAACTTCAGTATCTTGTTCGATGGGAAATTAAATCTAGTTAGTACATTGGGGAGGTCAAAATTCCCAGTAATTAATAGTCACACATTTTTTTATAAGTATTTAAAATTGAAATTTTGGCTAAATTTATCAAATCATAATTTTAAAATTATTTTGTAGTTAAAAATTTAATATAACATCTTGTGATAGGTATTGGCTATACTCAGGTAAATGAATTTTGTGCTGGAATAGAAATACCATCAATGGCTCCTAACTCATATATTAGTATTGAAAACATTTTACAAAAAGAAATAAAAAATACAGCTTGGGCAGAAATGCAAAAAGCCGGTGAAGAAGAAAAAAAATAGCTTTGGATTTAGGTAATGTTGATACAGATGGCGTCCCTCTAATAACCGTTGTAGCTGATGGGCAGTGGTCTAAAAGAAGCTACAAAACAAAATATGACGCTTTATTACAAAGTTTCTCATAAGTTATTCTTATAGTGATTAAAAAATTATAAGAACACATAGGCACGATTTTTTTTTTATTAACATTTGAAGTTCAAATATTGATAAAGATTCGTCAAAATCATCTCCGTTCAGAATCGCTTTCGTATGCAATAATACCTATCATTAAATTCAAATTTAACACTTCTATAATATATAATAGTGATCCATACGGCACCTAATGTACAGCAGAGCGATACCCACTTACCCGCTTTTTTTTAAATGTTATTTTATGCCGAGTTTTAACTATGTAAGTAAAATATTTTCAAAAACGTTATAGTAATTTTCGGTTTTTGAAAAAATGAGTGTACTCACTTGAATGGATCACCTTGTGTAATAAATTAATTTATCAAACATATTACGTTGCTCTGTTCTAGGCCTCAAATTTGATATTGCTAATGCTCCTAATCATCGAATATTTGATATTCATGAAAACTGCTCATCATATTTTTGTGATAAAAAGTCAATACAATCAAATAATAAAATAAAAAACCAGGACATTTCTCGGGAAATTGAAATAGTTGTGTCTCGTTTATCTAACAATGCCAAGAGCTTACTATTAGATGTAGACAATAATATATGTGAACAATTCAACAGCGTTATCAATAAATTCTTAGGAGGAAAAAGAATTAATTTTACACAAAAAAGTTCTTATAGTACCCGTGTTTATGCTGCTGTTGTCAGTTTTAATTCCTCGGAATATTTGAGAACAGTACGAAAAAACATAACACAAATGAGTCCAGGTATTATTTTTATTTAACGATAGTAAATAATGCTTATAATAATTATAACACAACAAATAATTAAATGACTTTTAGGAGTCGTCGGTAAAAAATTTTTAAAAAGAGCATTAGAAAAAAGATATACATGTCAAAAAAAAAGAAAAGTTTTGTCAAATAAAAAGTCAAATCTAAAACCTAAACGATTGAATTTTAGTAAAAAAGCTGACGAGAATTATGGAAATGCAGACAAATTAGACATTCTAAAAGACATAAAATGTATAGAGTTTGTGAATGAAATGAATCAATTTGTCAAGTAATATTATTAAATATCTCATTATTATATACAATTTAGATTTACACATTCACAAATAAAAATATTTAGACACCTATAATTTAACATTTAATTCACATTGTCTTTTAGAAAACTAGGGGAAGTTGATCGTATTAAAATTGAACGAGAGACTAGAGATCAAGCTGATAATGATATTTGGAAACGAGAAAGACTTTGCAGACTTACAGCTAGTAATTTCGGTCGTATTTGTAAGATGCGTGCAAATACTAGCTGTAAAAGTACAGTTTATTCAATTTTATATTCCAGTTTTACCTCTAAGTAAGAACACGTCTAAACATGAATTAATTATAATTTTTGAGCATTTTTAAATAATAAAAAAATAAGGTCAGTTCAGTATGGCAGAGATATGGAAGGGGTTGCTAAAATGAAATTTGAAGAAATTTATGCAGGAATTCAGATTAAACCTTGTGGTTTATTTATAGACACAGAATTTTCATTCCTAGCTGCAAGTCCCGGTTCGTAATATATCATATAAATTATTTAAATGTTTACTTATAAAATATGTATAAATGTACAATACTATATTGTATGATTGCATAATGTAGATGGAATAATTGACGAAAAAACCATAGTAGAAATTAAAGCTCCATACTCAGCCAAAAACAGCCAAAATGCAATTGAGGCTGTCGAGAGTGGTAAAGTATGTCAGATACCAATATAAATATCATACATCATTCAGCTGTTTATAAATACAACTATAAATGTCATTATAATTTTGTTTAGTTACCTTACTGTAAAATTGAGAACGGACAATTAAAATTAAAAAATAATCACAACTACTTTTATCAAGTGCAAGGTCAACTTCACATTTCAAAAAAAGAAGTATGTTATTTTATTATATATTCTCCTCAGTGGATATCGGTTGAGAAAATAAAGTATGAAAATAATTTTTGGATTACGAAAATGAAAGACAAATTAAAAACGTGAGAATATTAAATTTTTAAGCTAGATACCTAATTTATTTTTAATTGTATATTACATAACATTTACATTATTTTATGTAGATTTTATTTGGATTGTTTGCTCCCGGAGATTGTAGATCCAGCTTATAAATATCGCTTGATGGTTTCAGATATTAGGGAATCAAACAAAGTGGAAGTATTACAAAATAAAATTAATACGTAATATGATACCTAACCATTTTTGTTATTATTTATTTTCATCTTTCATATTTATTGTAAAATATATTGTTAATACTTCATTATATCTTTAAATTACAATGTTACGGTTTCAATCTGCATGTTTTTTATTTCGTTTAAATGTATTCTGGTTTCTCATACAATAGTAAATATAGCAATATTACAACATGAATTATTTAAAATGAATAATTCTATAAATAATGGTCAAGGTAGTGTTAAAAAGGAAGATTCTAGTATGTACAGCTCTTATTACGTCCTTAGTATTTTTTGCAACACATGCAGCTATGTAATGTTATTATTCCAAAACAATTGGAAAATTATAGGATTATAGTATTCTATTTTATTATATTTGAATAAGTAATAATGCAATAAATAAAAATCAAGTTATGTTATAATCCAGTTTCTACTATCTATTTATTGGTAAATAAATTTAGGCAAGCAGTGTCTTACATTTTAACCGTTGGTTCATGGTTAAGCGCGGGTATTCAAAATATTATGGCGGCATTTACGTATATGTATTGTATAATGACGCGAACTGCATTAGACGAACGTTCATAAAATAATAAACGTCGCTCCCGTAGTCCGTACCAACACCGTCAGGCCGACTGCGAATAGTGGGCGTGACCTAAACGCCGCGCGCTTGCGGATCGCGAAAACACCTAACAGCGCATCCTCTCGGTCGTTGCATGCGTACACGTTTCGGTGATACGTCCTCTTAATCTTCGCTGGTTTGTTATATCCCCGCCGAACGTGTGAACAGTGAACACTTTTAAAGCCCCACCGGCCACCACTCACGGACACGTTTGTTTTATCATCGTTATTCATTATAACTTATAACTTATAACAAATAAATCGGAAAAAACGTACAATAAATAAATAATAATAATAACAAAATATAGTTTATACAACTATACAAGTCATAATAATTAATGTTGGTACTGGTTTGGACTGGTTTAGACCCGCCAAGACAGTATTCTCCCTACACTCAAGTTTAGTTAAAGGCTTCAACTTATATCTCTCGTATTTTCGATGTTCTGACTTCTATTCATCATAGTGTACATTTTATCTAGACACGCGGTAGCGTGTCAAGCCAAGTTCTAGCTAACAGAACTGGCGAGCAGCACCGTGTGTAATATTACACGAACCATTTGGAGCCACTTTTGACCCCCTCATAACTCAAAAACTATTCCACATAAACATGTCAAATTTGGCTCATATATTGAGACTAACGAGATACATATGTGCTCTAAATTTCATAAACACACTTCAAACCGTTATTTAGATATTAACGTCCGAAAATCGTCATTTTTATCACTGACTTACCTATAGATCAAAATTCTAACCCAGTTCCAGATGACCTAGAAAGTTCAAATTTGGCATACAGATAGGTAGTTAGGTAAATACAAAGGAAAAAATCAGAAACTTGAAAATTTTTAATTTAAAATTTTTTAATTTTTAATTTTTAATTTTTTAATTTTTAATTTTTTAATCAATTGATTTTATTATAATTTTGCAATTATTTTATCTATTATGTTTAATTTTTCAATTTATTAATGAATGGCCTCTAATTTAATGTAATGTAATGTAATGTTGACTTAAATTACTTTTCCCGTATCGCCGCTCCAAAAATACGACTAGCCGAATATGTGTCGATATTGTCGACCCGCGCGCAGCAACATACTTTTTTTTCTATCTATGTACCTATGTAATTAATATTATTTTTTTAAATATTACAATTAAAATAATTAAATAATTATTCTTACAAATTATGAATTACCCACCCAACAGTAGAAACTACAGTCAATAAAATTATGATAATTAAAAATATACTCAAAAAGAGTTAAAATAATTGTATATTAATTTTACATATATTTTATACTCTGTATATACAACGGAAAATATTTTATAATAAATATTATTATTAATATTAGTAACTGAATTATATTATATAGTAATAAACTTTATTTATAGAATACGTCATGGCTAGGTTAGGTTAGGTTATAATAATTTACATACAAAAAGTAATGATATCCCACCAAAAACATATATGTAAAATGAGAGCCAAGTTCAATACTATAATATATGCCTTGGTTGTTGACTTCAACGACAAAAGAAGTGAGATCTAAATGGGTGCCAAGTTAGGATAATATATTGAAGCCTAAGGTCTGACTTGGCTACGAATTATATATTATAGCATTTGCAAGTTCTAAAGCTTTGAGTTCTTATTTTATTCTTCGGGAAATCATCTTCACTCTTCCATTACTGTTTTAGTAGGTACTTATAATAATAATTCGTATATGAAAAGTAGCCAAGTCACACCTTAGGCTTCAATATATTATCCTAACTTGGCACCCATTTAGATCTCACTTCTTTTGTCGTTGAAGTCAACAACCAAGGCATATATTATAGTATTGAACTTGGCTCTCATTTTACATATATGTTTTTGGTGGGATACTTTACAGTTAATACATTTAAAATTAAAATAATAATAATAATAATGATAATAAATGCATTACCTACTGGCTACTTTAAAAATTTAATAGTTATACAATGACGAAATCCAATAAAATAATTAAATTAATCATATAATATATTTGTTTATACTTAATGGTCCACAACTAGATTATAATAATCAAATTCATTTATATTTAACACAATAGAATAGGTACAATCAATTAGGTACCTAATATGGGATATTATTCAATTCAGCAGTAATTCTATGAATGAATACAATTATAATAATAATTACCTAAAAACTGTTAATTAATTATGATTTATGATTAATGAGTAGAATATCCAAACATGTGTGGGATACTGAGTAAATAGGTAGTTTTATTTTTATTTTATTTTCAGTTATAACTTAAAACTTATAACTTATAAGTAACCATTGATTATAAATACAGCTAGTATTTATAAACAACGGTATAACTGTTCTGCTCATAATATCTATAATAATAATATACCTATTCTATGAATATTATTCAATATTTTAATTTATAACCATTATTACTCATTAGTTATTAATTATTAAAGGTATTTATAAATGAAATTTGATATTTCTGATTATTATTACTTTTGTTTGATAATTAATAACCTACCTATGTAAACTAGTGATAATAACAAATTTTTTAATTTGTATAATGGTATATATTTTCAAAAAAAAAATGTATTTTTTAATGATATAAATTCAAGTTAGCGACATTTACATCGGGCGCTTGTGTTGATAAATATTTTAAATTAATTTTAATAATATATGAAATAAGAATTTAGGTAAATAATATAAATCGAAAAACGACGAACAAAAACGTACCAAGGTCCTTAGGTGGTTATTGTTATACGCCAGGCCCACCACATCATATTTTTGGCCCTAAATAACAATACATTTTTCGACATGAATATACCTTGAATATTAGTTTTATATATATATTATAGGAGTAGGTACTAGGTATAATTAAAAAATAAGATATCAACATATTTATAGGTATCCTTTAAAAACTGAAAACATAATATGTAATATTATATACATAGGTAGTAGGTACAAACTAAAAATGTTTAAATGTAAAGCTAAAAACTTGAAAAAATAGTTATAAAACATTAAATTTGTTGGGTAAAAATAAAATAGTGTGATTGTTATAACTTATACTGCATACTATTTGAACGTATGTGTAGTTCTGGTACACTTATAAAGTTATAAATTATAATACATATGATACATATTATCATTTAAATTGAAATTTCTATACTAACTAAATTTTTCTTTTCTTGCTTCCGAGCAAAGTCGTGTATATTGTATAATGTCATCAAGATTAATACTTGATGCCAACTATTTACGTTTTTACGTACGTACGACGTGCCTACACGATACGCAATTGTAAAGCAGGGGAGGACTGGGCCCAAGGGCAAGTGTTGGGTGATCGCTTAAAACTAAAAACTTGTGTTTGCGATTTCAAAACGATAGTACCAGTTTATTGATGGGTCATAAATACTGATAAAGTTTATCGAAGTAATATTGCCGATTACAGACCATTATCTGCGTCTAAAAACCAATATAATAATATAATAATATAATATAATAATATTATGTACAAAATATGTACAAAATATGTGCACAATCGAGTGGTTCCTTCTACAATATGTTGTGCGTAGGGATGGCAACGATATATCGATATATTCGATATATCGATAACTTCATCCGATATATCGATATTTTTATATCGCTCGAGGACTTCGATAAATATTCACTTATCGATAAAATATCGCGATATAACCGATATATCGCAGTTTCACATATGAATATTTTTTTTTTTCTTTAGTCCCCTGTTTGCATTGGTCTATAATATTATTGATAAATTCATGGTTTTAATAATCTAAGACCGTGGTTTTAACTTTTAGGTGGTTTTAGTGACGTATTTTCACGTCCTGTCCCCAGCTGCTGATTGGACGTAATATTAATACTGATAGAATATCTATTCTGATATTAATTGCCATAACTGATAAGTGCCACTAGACCCTGATAAGTGATAATATGATATTACGATTTACGATAATATAACAATTAAACACATTTCCCGCATAAATTTAAATATTTTACAATAATAATATAATACAATTAGGTTCCAAATGTTATTGCATAATATAAGAGCAGTATACTATAGATTTGTATAGTATGAAAACTTTATTTTTTGTATTAGTTGAATTACAGATCAATATAAATTTGTTTGTTATGGCATTATATACCTATATAGTTATTAAAATTGGAATTGCCAGTGTATACTGCTATATCTTAAAGCAACATTTTATTGATGTCTAGAATCTAGATAGTAGATGATGAGTATATGACTAAATTGAGAATAACGGGTTTGTCCTTTGTAATAATGATTAAATAGCAAATACAATTTTTATATTTAATCAATGTTTGCAACTTGCACCTTGCATGCACATTTATTTATTGTATGCAATTTGTTTTATACTATATTATATTTTATT